ATTCCTGAGCCTTGGCTGTTGGATGCTCCAGGAATGATCTAATATACATTCTATTTTCTCCAGGCCATCCCTGTTCCTAACTTCTAGCTGAGGTATGCACCCTTTGTTATTGTTATCAGGTCTCTAACCACCTAGAATAGATACAAGTGTTACCTGTGCATATTCTCTCTGTGAATAAACACTCTTTATTCTCTCCAGACATGCTCCACAAATACAGGGTTCCTGGTTTTCTTTCAAGGGCATGCCGTAGCTTTGCTTTGTTTTAGCAGACAGACCAACATAGTTGTTGGCCAAATCCAGGAGGTTTCAGAGAGTTATGGGAACACTAAACCTGCAGCATCAGGAGGAGAAGTCAAAACTGATAAATGGGAGAATGGAGCATCTTGATCCCCTTTGCCATGCAGTTTGTGTGTGTGTGTGTGCGCGTGTATGTGTGTGTGTGCGTCCGTGTGTGTGTGTGTGTGTGTGTGTGTGTGCGTGTGCGTGTGTGTGTGTGTACAGTTCATTCTTGACTCCTAGCAACTTCTTGAACAGTTCCTACAGTTTTGGAAAAAGTTTAGAGAAGAGCAACTAAAATGATCAAAAGCCTGGAGACTAAAACATATGCAGGACTTCGGTTTGGCTAGTCTAAAGAAAAGAAGAAATAGGGGTGACATGATAGCAGTCTTCCAGTATTTGAGGGGCTGCCACAAGGAAGAGGGGGTCAAACTATTCTCCAAAGCCCCAGAGGGCAGGACAAGAAACAATGATTGGAATCTGATCAAAGAGAGAAACAACCTGGAATAAACGAGAAACTTCCTGACAGTGAGGACAATCAAGCAATGGAACAGCTTGCCTTCAGAAATCGTGGGCACCCCATTACTGGAGGTTTTTAGGAAGAGACTAGACAGTCACTTTCTGAAATGGTATAGGTTCTGCTGCTTGAGCAGGGGGCTGGACTAGAAGACCTCCAAGGTCCCTTCCAGCTCTACTCTACTCTACACTCTACCCTACCCTACCCTGCCCTGCCCTGCCCTGCTCTATTCTATTCTATTCTGTTCTGTTCTGTTCTGTGCTGTGCTGTGCTATTCTGTTCTGTTCTGTTCTGTTCTATTCTATTCTATTCTAAAAGTTTTTCCAAAGTAGTTTGCCACTGCCTTCTTCCCAGGCCTGAAGAGAGAGAGAGAGAGAGAGAGAGAGAGGGAGGGAGGGAGGGAGGGAGAGAGAGAGAGAGAGAGAGAGAGAGAGAGAGACTAGCCCAAGATCACCCAATTGGCTTTGCACCTAAGAAGGGACTAGAACTCTCGTCTCCTGGTTTCTAGCCCAGAGTCTTATGTCAAACTGACATTCTCCCCTAGTCAGTTTCCCTCTCAAATACAGCTGCCCTCAACTCTCAAAAGATCTGCCAGTCTTCTGAAATATCAGCTACTGAACCCTCTAAGATCCTCAAAGCTCTCATTTTAATTTTGAGATTTTCCATGATCACTTAAAAAGTGGGAAGTTCCCAGTTGCAATCAACCCAAATGTCCCTCTCCCTTGTAAACATGTTCAGCAGTCCGTTATTCCTCCAAACAGCGTTTCAGATGTGCAAAGATAGATACATAGTCAAAAAACTAACACCATTTTGTGAATGGTGCAAATGTGCATTACACACATCAGCTATTGTGCTCACCCACCATCTGATAGCTTCACTTGACGACCTGGTTCTTGCAGCTGTCCACTGCTGGATTCTGATGAAATGCTGATCTCAAACAACCGGCATCTATGTTAGTATAACTGAGTGTAATGTGAATGCAAGCAATGTTTATTTATTTATTAGTTTTTTATCTCTCCTTCATTGCTTTATAAGTAACCTCAAGGTAATGAGCATTCATAATACTCCTTCCTGCTCTCCTTTCCCCCCACAACAACCCTGTGAGGTAGATTGGGCTGAGAGAGAATGACTGGTTCAGATTCAAACAACTGGCTTTCTTGCTTAAGGCGGGACTAGAACTCACTGTCTCTTAGTGATTAGCCCAAAGTCACCCAGATGGCTGTCTTGCCTAAGATGGGACTAGAACTCACTGTCTTTTGGTCACTAGATCAGCAAATTTACCCCTGCACCAATCTGACCAAACTGGTGTACTTAGAATTTACTCCTACTAGCAGCACAGCAGTTTCATTTTGGCTGATAGATCAGAAGATGAACGAGGCTCTTTGGAATGGGGTGTCTGCTGTGTACAAATGGAGTGTGAACATTTTCTCCCCGCACTAGCTCATTCCTTACATACCTGCTCAGCTTTGTGCTACCAGTGAGCAGCTGATGTCATGACACGCATGTAGCAGAGGTCAAACTGGGTACTTCCCAAGGGAACCTCCCTGGATCTGAATGTCTCAGGGCCACGCAGAAGAATTGTGTCAATATTTTTGTGGCAACTCCCTGTTCAAAGGGCTGGGCCAGAACCATTAAACAGAATAGCTGGGAAGCCTATCAAGGCTGAGACAAAGAAGCGGGGCTGAGAAATGGCATGTGAAGGATGTGCCAAACGCAGACAAACTAGCCTCGGATCCAGAGCATCAGAGTGGGGTGGGATCAAAATGGTCAGGATGATGTTCACAAGCGTGCAATCAGAACTACAGGTAGTCCTCAACTTATGACCACAATTAAATCCAAAATTGGGTATGTCTAGTTTAACGAAGAGAAGGACAAGGGGGGGCATGATAGCAGTATTCCAATATCTCAGGGTGTCAGAATCCAATCATATTTCATCTTTAATTATCAAATATAGAAACTCCCAATTCTGCCTTCTTTGGATTCTGCCATAAGAGGGAGAGAAGGGGGAGAACAAAGGGGCTTTATGGCCCTCACTTCCTTCAGTACACTTCAAAGAGCTGAATGCTGAATGTGTGTTTATTGTAACATCAAAGCGTTAGCACTAGAGAAACTTATCATAACAAAGCAGGATACTTGCCTTTCATGTAGTTACCTGAAGTCTCCATTCAGACGGAAGAAAGAAGAAAGGGGGTGGAATTGTGATACTTGAAACTATCACTGGAAGGGGGGTTGATTTGGTGGGACTACTGGGGAACCCCTTAAAACCTTGAATGGAAGAGCTTGAACCCCAAGTCCTGTCTAGCATGCCTGCAACCATTTTCTCTTAATAAAGGATTCCTGTTGGAAGAATTATTCCAAGAGTTCTGTCTTCTTAAGATGCAAAGTGGGGTGGGTCCTTACACAGGGGCTGCCATAAAGAAGAGGGAGTCAAGCTATTTTCCAAAGCACCTGAAGGCAGGAGGGGAAGCAACGGGTGGAAACTAATCAAGGAGAGAAGCAACCTGGAACTAAGGAGAAACTTCCTGACAGTGAGAACAATTAACCAGTGGAACAACCTGCAGTAAATGCTCCAACACTGGAAGTTTTTAAGAAGAGACTGGACAGCCATTTGTCCGAAATGGTGTAGGGTTTCCTGCCTGAGCAGGGGGTTGGACTAGATGACCTCCAAGGTCCCTTCCAACTTTACTACTACTACTATTACTACTACTACTACTACTACTACTACTACTACTACTACTACTACTACTATTAAAATTATTATCTTACAACCATTTTGCTACAGTTGTTAAGTGAATCGTTCCCGATGTTCAGTTAGTAACACGGTTATTATGTGACTCTGGCTTCCCCGTTGACTTTGCTTGTCAAAAGGCCTGAGAAGTTGATCAAATGACCGCGGGACGCGGCATCCGTCATAAATATGGATCAGTCACCAAACATCCAAATTTTGATTGTGACTGTGGGGATGCTGTAATGGTAAGTATGAAAAAAGGTCCAATTTGCTTTTTCCAGCGCCATTGTAGCTTGGAATGGTCACTAAACAAATAGTTGTAAGTCAAGGACTATCTATGCCCAGTTTTTACATGCATTACAGGGCAGTTAAAAGGGGCAGATCTTCACATGATGCCCCACCCAGATTTTTTTTCCTTCCTCGCCCGTCACAAGTTTCCTAGGCCTGAATTACACCATGAGCTTAGAGCAATAGGCAAATCAGAGCCAGAACTTGAACTCAGAGCCACCAGGCTCAAATGTGAACCCAAAGAATGCCAGGTAGAGGAAGCTCCTTTAAGCCCATTGCATAGTCCTGGTTGAAGGAGAGAGCCTCTGAAAGACCTAAAATCCATTGTGAAGGAAAAGTCTTTCAAAAGCCACAGGGCAGAATTTTAGAGGAGGGCGAATAATCTCAAATCCCTGAACAATATAAATTATTGTTGTTGTCCCAGAAAGAATAATAGGGCCGGAGGGGGCTTCAGAGGTCTTCTAGTCCAGATCTTCTAGCCTCATATCATCTCCGTGAAATTGTTGTACAGCCTATTTTTGAAAAACCTCCAGCAATGGAGCACCCATAGTTCCAAGGGCAAGTTAGTCTATTGCATTTATTTATTTATTTATTTATTTATTTATTTATTTATTTATTTATTTATGAGACTTATATACCGCTTTAAGTGCAAGCACTCTCTAAGCAGTGTACACCAGTAAGCAATGTGTATATATATATTTACATTGCCCCCAACCATCTGGGTCCTCATTTTACCTACCCCGGAAGGATGGAAGGCTGAGTCAACCTTGAGCCGGTGAGATTTGAACCGCTGACCTGCTGAACACAGTCAGCTAAAGTGGCCTGCAGTACTGCACTCTAACTGCTGTGCCACGATTGTTCTCATTGTCAGGAAATTCCTCCTTACTTCCAGGTTGAATCTCTCTTTGATAATCTTCCATCTGTTACTTCTGATGCCCTAGAGAACAAGTCAACCCCCTCTTCTTTGTGGTAGCCCCTCAAATACTGGAAGATAACTATCATGTCCCCCCCCCCTTAATCCTTCTGTTTGATAGACTAGACATAACCCAGTTCCTGCAACCATTCTTCATAGGTTTTAACTTCCAGGCCTTTTATCATATTCTCTGCTCTCCTCTGCACATTTTCCAGAGTCTCAACATCTTTTTTGTACGGTGGCCATGCAGTATTCCACAAAGAACCACACCAGATAGATGGAGAGGAAAGGAAAACTTTTATTTGCCAACAAAAAGATTACCCCAAAGCAAGTTTCAAATAGGCACAACTTGGCTTGCACTAGATCCCCCTTTTGCACAATTTTTGAAAAGCAAACGTTGCCATGAACCAACCACGGGATACACACATCATTAGAAAGCAGTCATTAAGAGTAACATCTTGCATACATCTTCAGCAGTCGAAGTTCACAGTTCAGCTAAAGGTTACAAAGTACAAGCTTTACAAAGTAGGCTAAGACTTGCCTCGTCTTACCAATAACCACAGTTCAGCTAAAGGTCACAAGGTAGGCTAAGACGTTTATCAATACCATTTGTCCTTACTTGAAACTTTCCTAAGCAACTGGCTACCAGGGTCTTACCCATCACCTTAATGGTCAGGCATTCCTGAGCAGGAAGGTGAATGGCCTGTTCAAATTGGGGTCATTTCTGCTTAACAAGGCACTTCAACTTCTTACCAATAGATAACAAGGCACAATAACTATTTCTATGTGCTAAAACAATAAGTAATACTTCAATATATGGATAACAAATAGTTTACCGATACACAAACAAGTGGGTTAAGGCTACATAAATTGGGCTATCTTATCACTGCATGTCTTCCAGTGTCAGGAGTCAACCTCACTCTCTGGTTGAATGCTGATGGGAATGACCACATGCTCTAGAGAACAATATTTCTTATTCTTGACAACTTGAAGATGTGTAGACTTCATGCTGGTTGCAGAATTTGGGGAATTGAAGTCCACACATCTTCAAGTTGCCAAGGTTGAGAAACTCTGCTTTAGAGTGAGGGTTGGCAACTGCTGGCCCACGGGCAGATGTGGTCCACCCCTGAAATAAATAAGCCCCCAGTCCCCAAAGCAAAGAATACCATATTGATTCACGGAGGTTCTAAGAATTCATGTTTGTAATCTTATAATGACCATGTAATTTTGGTGTGAATCTCTCACAGCTCCTTTTCTTTGCACCAGCATCTGACAGCACCACAACTTGTGGTGTGGTATGGGAGGAGTTTCCAGAGAGATACGTCAGTCACTCACAGACATGGCCTCCGGTCTTGGTGTGGAACAAGGTTGCCATCGTGTTCCAGAGAACGAAGCTGATGGGAACATGATCCAGAAAACAGAGTGAAACTTTAGTCCAGTTTTTTCTATCATGAATACCTTCAACGTTTATAGATGTGGACTCCCAAAATCATCACCCATGGCCATGCTGGCTGGGGATTCTGGAAGTTGGGTTCTATGCAGGCAGTCTTTGACTTACAGCCATAATTTCTGTCATTAACCATTAAGTAGTTAAGTGATTTTATGTCCTTTTGGACCATGGTTGTTAAGTGAAACATTGCAGTTTTCAAGCGAATCAGTCATTAAATGAATCCAACATCTCCCGTTGAGTTTGCTTGTTGGAAGCCAGCTGGAAAGATCCCAAGTGGCATTCACATCACCCTGGAACACTGCAATTGTCGCAAATACATGCCTATTGCCAAGCCAGAATATTGATCACGTCACCTTGGAGATGCTTCAATGGCTGTAAATGTGAGGACTAATTGCCAGTCACTTTTTTCAGTGCCATTGTAACTTCAAATGGTCATTAAACAAATGATTGTAAGTCGAGGACTACCTGTATTTCTGGAGGGCGCCCAGATTGTTCAGGAATGCTGTCTTAGTCCAGTAGAAGTCAAGACAGAGGAATATTTTTTCCGCTGGTGCCTTGTCCAAATGCTGTCCTCCCGTGGAAGAAGGGAGTCAAAGTCCACCATTTTCAAGTTTTCAAGGCTGAAAAACACTGTTTTAGAGTGAGAACTGGCAACCTATGGCCAATTCAGTGGTCCACCACTGAAATAATCCAGCCCAAGTCCCAAAAAAAGAGTAGCATATCCACCCAATGCATAGTAGTCCTAACAAAGAATTCAAGTTTGTACTTCTACAATTACCATGCAGTTCTGGTGTAGATGTCTCACAGCCCTTATTTCTGACTGTGTTTCGGCAGCTGAGAGCACCACGGCTCATGGTGTGGCGTGGGAGGTACCTGAAGAGAGATTTCTGAAGAGAAATATCTTGGCTCTCCACGAAATTTCCAGGAGCTTCCAAGGCCAAGAAGCTTCTTCCTGTTTGCACAAGGACATGGAGCGCCCGAGGGCATGGCCCTATTTCCTTTCTCCCAAAAGAAGGCAGCACTGAATGCCGCACATAGCAATATTAACCTCATCCAATGAGGCTGGTGATGAGATTACCAGGCTGAAGCTGTGTGCTAATATTGCCCGAGTCATTGCCAGCTCCAGCTGCTCGGAGAGATTCCTCTGAGTTGAGCTGGGAGAGTCTGTTTAAGCGAGGGAGTGGATTGCCTTCCCATCTGTGGTCATGAAGCAGCGAGACTTCCCACCGAGGGCTTAACTGGAGGGAGGATATGTGATGCTTTGGCACATGCTCTCAAAAAGTTTCAGATTGAAATTTCAGTACGGATCAGTAAGCACAAGTCATGTGCATATGAGCCCTTGACACAGTTTGGAAAGTGTGTTTCTCTTCAACCACAGTTTATCTGAAGCCCTCTTGGAAACACTTCCTTAAAGAAACATGGTTCCCCCACCTACCTCATTTCACGAAGCATGCTTTTTCACTGTTTGGCTTCTAATGCCTCCTTTATCTTTGCCTAAAACCTCTCCCACGGTTTCAGTTGACCAGTAAGGCTTTGACACACACTTCTGTGTCTCTGCCACACATGTGTTGAAATCTCTTCTGACTAATGGAGCTGCAGGATTTGAGGCAACACCAAGAATCCTATTGGTGTGACCCCAGAGAACATGTATAGTCTTGCACTAATGGTCCAAATGTTGCAATCTGTGCAAGTCAAAATGGATGCAGATTATATCATTCGGGTTGCTTGTGCAAGGTGTGCAAGGATGTACCTTAAACTCCTTGTAATTTGCACTCGATGGAAAAGCATTGGCCAAGCCAATCAGCCAGATACAAGTGGGAACAGAGGCCCCATCCCTAAGTAATGCAGTTGGAAGCCGGCTAGAAAGATCTCAAATTGCACTCACATGACCCAGGGACACGGCTGCTGTCATAAATATATGCCATGGTCCAAGCACTCAAATCGTGATTGCATGATGGTAGGGATATGGCAACAGTCCTAAGACTGAGGACTAATGGTAAGTCACTTTTTCCAACACCGTTGTAGATTCAGCCGTTAAATGACAGGTCGTAAGTTGAGGACTACCGATCATGGATTTAATCTACACAATCTACAAAGCCAGTTCTATGGTTTTATGGGTGCACCCATTCATCACGCATTTGCAGATTGTTGAGAGAGAAATCAGTTTTCCAAATGTTCAGAAAAAGATGATCAGAAAGTGACAACTGGAGAAGGCCAGATGCATGGTGTGTTTGTGTGTATGTGTGTGTGTGTGTGTGTGTGTGCCAACACAAAGCAGTTAAAAATGGAGGCTGAAGCCCTATCTGGATTTTAGATGAATTTCTCAGCTATTATCTTGTCTTTTTTCTTTTTTCTTTTTTAACCTGGAGAAGGCATGCATGCTTCTGTCTCCATTTGCCTTCCTCCCCTTTGGCATTGAGGTTTGCATTTGTCTAATAGCTCCTGTTCGATTTGCATTCCAGGTATAATCCACCAGCCCTATTATGCTAACTTCTGTTCAGAGCTGGTACAGTATTATATAACCACAATTGGCTAGCATTTGGATATGCTAAAATTGTAGTGAGGGGTGGGTCTCAGTTGTTCTCACGGAGGAGAACAAAGTACAATTCTTTCTACCATCTGCTCCGTTACATTTTTGTTTAAATTGCCACTGTTTTTTTTTTGAGGGGGGTCTTTTTTTTTTTAATTCAGTCAGATGACATTTTAAAAGGACTTTGTTCTCATCTCAGTGCTGGCTATCATCTTCTGAAAGCATTAAAACAAACGAAAATCACAGATTGGTCTTTAAAAAAATCAGAAATTTTGTAGGATAAAATAATTCTCAAAAGATAAAACCACAGGATGATTTGCAAAGTACGTCTGGGGTTAGTAGGGTTAGTTAAACATCCCTCTCTCTGTTCTGCCCCCTCCCATTTTTCCTGTAAAGTTACTGAGAAATAGCATTAAATTGAAATAGATGGAAACAGAGCAATTATGAAACAACTGGCTCAGAATTTTGCAGTTTGTTTCAGCTGTTTTTCCCAAACAGAAAGACCTCAATGGCCGCTAGATGGCAGCAAAGAGATATAGAAACACTTGAATCCAACACCATCTAATGGTTTGCTGGTGTTTTGCAAACCCATCTGAGCTTCCCAACTCTTACACAGTATATTTATTGGTTTGTTTGAATTTAGAAAGCCACCTATCTCGCCAAGGCAACCCTAAACAATGAGCATGATTGAAAAACAATATAACAAAGATGCTCAAAAAGATATCTGTACTGAAAAACTATATATATAAGCTTTCGCTGGCAGCTGCCAGTATTGTCAGGGTAGCTTCCAGTCGATGGGAGAGGCTATTTATGGATATGGCTTTCTTTGCACCCAGCTCCTGGACCTCGTTAAAAGGAAGAAACAGCTACGATCACACATTGCTCCTAGAAGCACGAAGCCGAAAACACCAGCCTGAAGATGACGAATGGGACTTCGTTGAAATGTCGCCAAGACACTTCCAATTTGACGCGGCAGAAAACCTGAATAAACACCCGCGAAAACCTCAGAATATGAATATATATATATATATATATATATATATATATATATATATATATATATATATATCCCCTTTTAATTCTTTCAGAGGCAGCTGCCATCAGGGATCAGGAGAAAAAAATGGAAGCAAACTGAAAAACTCTCTGTTGATCTCCAGAAAACTCCAGACTGCAGGAGTAGGGAGGGGGCACATTTTGCCACGTCATCTGATTGTGTCGTAATGTTGCGAATGTTTTACTGCTTTTGAGTTAATCCCTCCCTGGATTTAAGTGCCTGCTCTTCCGTCTGAAAAAGAAAATTCCATTTTTATCCTAGTTTCAGCCTGGCAGCTGACATAGTTCGATTCAGCCAGAACCCCCCTGGGTGCTACAAATCTATTAAAAGCTTCCTTTCTCATCCTGATACCCCTCCAGCTTCTGAGCCGGCGTGCACTTCCTCTACCTGCATGGCTGATCGGGGGAAACAACGTGAGCTCAGCCCTAATCTGCTCCTTTCTTCTAATAAAATCTCCCATTGGAGAGAGAACTGTGGGAAAAAGCTGGAGCTGAGTTGCAGGTGAACTGGGATCGGTAGCTGGAGGCAATCCTGGACACGCGATTCCTCTTTTCCACAAAGAAAATTTGCAGAAGAGATGACAATTTTGGAATATTTATTTATTTACCTCCCGCCTTTATTATTTTTGTTTCTGTTTTATAAATCACTCAAAGCAGTGAACACACACACACAATGCTTCCTCCTATTTCCCCCCCAAAACAACAACACTGTGAGGTGGGCTAGGCTGAGAGAGAGAGAGACTGGTCCAAAGTCCTCCTACTGGCTTTCATTCCTAAGACAGGACTAGAACTTACCTCTCCCGGTGATTGGCTCCAATCAATCAGTTGGCTTTGATGCCTAAGAGAGGACTAGAACTCACCATTTCCTGGTGATTAGCCCAAGGTCAGCCAGGCGGCTTTCGTGTCTGAGGTGAGACTAGAACTCACAATCTCCTGGCTTCTAGCCCGGTGCCTCCATCATTAGGCCCAACTGGCTCATTATAATGCAATGCACTTACTTGTACCCAGGATATGCCAGACAAACTTCCTGCTAGTTGCACTAGCTTGAGCTGAGTAAGAGATGCTGACAATGGGCAGTGTGGCTATTTCAGCTTCAGTCAATTCTGCTGTGAAAGTGAGGAAGGGCCATTTGTAAGAAAAAGAGAGTCGTTTTTGCATTTTAGAAGAAGGATTTCCAGCTTAGAACCTTCTCCTTCAGCCAACGTTTCTCCTTCCATACATGAGGAACTGGGATGCAGAACCATCAGATGACCTTAGAAGGTGATTTTCATCTGAGGAAGGTCTGGGGATATGGTTGATAGGTTGAAAATATGTCCACAAGAATTCATTTTGGCACCATTGGAGAAGAAACTGCACATTCTAGGACGACAACCTTTCAGAGAATAATTTGGCAAATGAGATGCAGACCACAGCTTATTGAGGAACTCATTGCAAGGCATGGTGTTGGTCACTAGTCTACATGGCTTCAAAAGGGACAGCCGATTCTTGGGTACCAGGCCTATCTACAGCTATTAGCCTCCTGGTACAAAGTCCACCTATATTTATATATTAAGTTAATGGGATTCACAAGAGAAGATAGATAAATAGACAGATAGATAGATAGATAGATAGATAGATAGATAGATAGATAGATAGATAGATAAAGATATGATAGATGATGGATAGCTAGCTAGCTAGCTAGCTAATGATGGATGGATAGATGATAGATAGATGATAAAGATAGATGATAGATGACATAGATGATAAATAGATAATAGAGAGCTGAGATAGAGAGAGAGAGATAAAGAGACAGAGAGAGAGAGATGGATGGATTTGGTCTCCTCTTTAAGGGCTTCCTAGGTGTATCTGGTGGGCTGCCATATGAGATGGAGTCTAGGCCTGATTCAGTAGGGAAATGAATTCATGAAAGAGCAAGACAGCCCCATGCCATCTCCCCATTCACTGCCCTCCAGCAAGCATTGCAACTCAGATGGAGTGGATGGAATGGTATTGTTGATAAACTTCAGCCAGTTCCTCTGGGGCTTTCTTGTCAGCCCCAAGATTCTAAGACTCACCCAAAGTTGCCTTCAGCACAAGATATCCAGGTGCCCATTCACACCCAAACCCTTTGCTTCATGTCCATAAGATGCTTTTGCTGAGTTATCTCTTCGTTTGATATGAACGGTGAAGTTTCCTCTCTGATCGCAACAGAAAATGTGTGTAATGATCCAATCAGAAGATCAACACACTGAGTTTGTTGAGTGTGCCAAGAAAACAGAGTAGGAGGAGAGAGAAAAAAGATAACCCTCAGGTCACAGGAAGTAACATGAGTTCCTGGCTTGACTGGCTGTGAAAATAGTTTGAATCAACTCTTCTCTGTCATGTAGCAACTCATCATTCTGGGACAATCATTAAGGTTGGATGGTTCTCCTCTTTGTCTTTCCTTTTGTCCTCATACTTTTTATTAAACTTATTAGCTGTTGCCCATTGAACTTAACATGACTTCTACCATAGACACCCTAACCGTATGGTCAAAAGGGTCAGATAGAATCTTGTGGCTGTGTTTTGATCACACTGTTCTGTCCACCCTCTACACATTTTTGATCCCACCATTGGAGAGCCTTGATTTCTACATCTAGTTTGTGACCAGAACATTTTGGGAAGTTGATGTCTATTAATTTCTTAGGCGAATATAGGGATATATTTCAGCTGTTCTTTAATCTTTGGATAGTTTCCTTAGAAAGTCTAAAGTTTAATTTCAGATGCTAAAAAGATTTAACTGCGGTCAGATTTGTTTCTTGCTCTGCTTAAGATGCTTTTGGTGGGGGTAATTGTATTATCACT